GGGCCACAGGTTCTATCTGGTGAGTTATGGAAAGTTGCTGAATGACTTCACATTGAAGAGACAATAGTTCTAATTTATATTATGGTACCCTAGCCCTAGTAATGAGTTGAGAAGACCCCAAATTGGGGAGAAGTGTTGTCAGGAATTTGTGATGGGGTGGGAAGGTATAAAATTTAAAGGGATTCAGTGATCTGATGAATGGTATCTTAGTCTGTTCAGGCTGGCTATAACAAAACACTCTGGACTATCTAATTTATAGATAGAAATTTATTGCTCACAATCTTGAGAAGGGGGAGTCCAAAACCAAGGTACAATCAGATTCAATGTGTGGTGAGGACAAAGTCCTCATAGATGGCATCTCTCACATATGCTCACATAGTGGAGAAGCCAAAAGCTAATGAACTCCCTGAGGCCTCTTATAAATGTACTAATCACATTCTCCAGGGCAGAATCCTGATGACCTATCACCTCTCAATACCAAAGGCTCTCACCTCTTAATACCAACACAGTCAGGGCAAATTTCAACATACAAATTTTGGAGGGACACAAATATTCAGACCATAGCCATTGTGAAGTTAATAAAAGAGCATTTATATGACCACCGAATTTCTGGCACAACACCTGGAGAGTGGTTCATATCCATAATCTATTCCACCAAATCCATCGAGCCAAATATGTTTCAAATTCCAGAACTTTTTAGATGCTAGAAAGGTGATAGCATTCATACCCAATATAACAGTATACTTCAGAAAGTCCTGGGGCAGTATTATACAATCAAACTCAGTACTAATAGTACCAAGTACAGTAGATAATCTCCTGACAGTTCACCCTTGGTTTTCTGCAAATGAACTGAATTTTTGCTAACAAATGAGTCACATTAAATTTTTCGATTTTTGGAGGCTGATTGTGGAATTGTGGACAGGACATGGTAAATGAATTAATACATGTGGACAGAAATCAGGAACTGAAATAGGTGTAATGAAGGTCTTGGTTTACAAGTATACAATCTCCAGTTATTATTGAAGGTATCATATGAATAAGCAAATTATACATTTTGAAATTTAAACAAATACAGGGAAAAGGTATACCTGGGGAAACAGTTTATTTAGTACCAGAAATATAAGCCCAATTCTGAGAATGACTTAAGGAAATTTCATCTAATTGTCCATAATCACTAATGACCTATAATCTAGGATCTACTTGTCTTTGCTTTGCCACTTTGGTCTCTTGCCATTACTGGAATTGATTTGAATTCAATGTTGCCATTGACAGTACATTAATTATGATAAAATTACCCAAATTGTATAATATTAATTACTCTGATAATGACTGATACATAATTGGACCCCTTTCTTCTCAATCACTTTTAGATCCATAAAAGAACTGTCATTCCAAATGTATTTTTATGCTTTATGGACCTGAGAACATCTGAAGATAATACAGGTATCAACCATTTCCAAAATATTAAATATGGTAACATTCTTTAGCAGAAAAATTATTTTCACTAAGAATGTGAAGGGAGGTTAAAACAGAAATCATTTATGAAAGACTAATTATCCAACCAGAGCTTCTAAGACTATATCATGGCAAATCTCTTAGATATCTAAAATAATCCCTTTTTGGGGGAGAGGGTGTGATTCCTATCATTTGTTTCTTATATCTATTTCATAATAAAAGATAAAGATAAAAAATATTAATAGAATTAAAAAAAAACAATAAATTGGGCTACGTTTTTTTCAGATTCTACCCATAACTCTAAATCAACCATTAAACTTAGAATTAAAATAAAGTTGGGCAGAATTATTTTTCTGTCTAAAACTTCGACTTAATAATTGTTACTATCAAAATCCTCTCAGAAAAACATTTCTAGTTTTTTTCTGTTCCCACATACAATGCTGCATGATGAAAACCCATTTAAAATACAATAATGTTCAATGAGATTTCATGCAGTCCCTAATATTTGAGAGATTTAATCGAGCATCCAGATCCTAGTGCCTCAAGTCCTCCAAGAAATGTTTAACTATTAGAATTAATAGAATTATAGTTTGATTATATGAAAAAATAGCTTAATTTGAATGTGTGTGTGTGTATGAGAGAGAGAGAGAGAGAATGTGTGTTTGTGTGTGGGGGAAGACCTGTAGAAAAATGAGCCTTAAATTCAGGCCTGGGGTTGTAGCTCAGCAGTAGAGTGCTCTCCTAGCATGTGCGAGGCCCTGGGTTCAATCCTTAGCACTACATAAAAATAAATAAATGAAACAAAAGTATATAAAAAAGTACTCCTTGTTTAAAAAAATGTAAATTCAACAGGATAGCACCATATTCATATTATATGCTTCAGCCCATTAATTGTCATAAAACCAATCTAGTATGCTGAGGCCAGTTTTTTAAAATAAAATAATAGGGGACATTCATGTTATATAGTTAAGTGTTGTTTTATGAAACTTGTTCCACTTATATGTACATACACTTAAGAGTGTACTCAGCTGAAGCATAAAATGCATTTTTTTTTTTTAAAAAACTGAGCACTACAGCTTAAAAACATGTCTAAAAAACACTGGTGTTAAGTAAATATGCTTGAAACCAAAAGTCTAGAGTATTACAAATGGATGGAAGACACTGGGTCACTGCCTCATAAAATATGTTTCAAGCCAATATAATAAAAGATCAGAAGACTAAATAATGTTGTCCAAGTTGGCTCAAAAAATTAACTGTGGCTCTGAAATAACAAGAAAGGTTTAAAAATCTCAATCCACATGGCATCTTCAATATACATGTGATCATGATGAGAAAAAGAGCATGATGGCCTTGGTGAGTCTTCATGAAGCCAGGCATTACTTGGACAAGTCGAAGAAATTAGGATAAACCAAGAGGTGGACCAAGAACAATTGACTATTCTATAATTACAAAGGCCTTACAAACTACATGAAAGGAAAAAAAAAAAGATAAACATCTTCTGATAAGTGAGCATGTGGGTGGTGAAATGTAATGATCCAGGAGCCCTGAGTCAAGCAACTGGAATAATAATGTTATCTCTAGATGAATTTTCAAGGTGAACTAAAGTGAGAATCCTCTCTCAGTTTCAGGTTATCACATGCTGGATGGGTGGACTGGATATCCAAAGCAAGATGAGGAGCCTGAGAATGTAGGGCTACGAGACATTCCCTACATTATCTTAATGTAGGGAAGCATATCTCCCCCACCAACTCCATTTTACAGACTTAGATAGAGGCACACTGTTACTCTAGCTCACAAGAACATATTATATTACTCCTTGGAAATAAGAACAAAAACAGTCTGACAACGCCTGGCCTATAAACAATGAATATTAGGTCAATATTCAAATTTTAATATCTACCCTAATTTTATTGAGTATTTAACAGATTTATTTCTTGTAAGAAAACAAGATTAAGAAGGCAGGTAAGGTTCTTTTGAGAAAACTAAGAATGTCCTGGTTGAATTAGTAATTGTCTTGTTATGCTGTGATTGGTGTGGTGTTTTAGCTTTTAATTGACCTTCTTTTTAAAACCACAAGTATTGCCTAAGGCACTTTAAGTTAAATGTGCAATTTAAATAAATTTTAATAACTAGCAAGGATAGAACTAAACACTAAGGGAGTGGAATTGATATTTGTTGTTAGAAATTTCTATGTAAAAATGATGGTTAAAATAATATCAGAAGGAAGATGCTTGGTACAAATAAGTGGCTCAGACTTTTAAAATTAACATGTAGGCAGATTTCAGATATTAATAGTAAAATATAAATTTAATGAAATCTAATTGCAGGGTGTGACTTTAACTTCATGTATTTTAGTCAAAAACTCAAAGAAAAATTAATTCAATAAAACAGCAACAGATTTTCTCACAACCAGCAATTTTCAAATTAAAATGTAGTAACCTTCTGATTTTTAGCTATAAAACTTGGATTTGTCTTCATTATGTAGTGTAACTCCCATAGCAAGTTATATTAACTTAATGCCATGTTGCAAAAATCAGGAAAATGGGTAACTTGATATGGTTCCAAAAGCAGAAATAGTTATTTGATGAGTTCGTGAGAGAAGGAAATAAGTCTAAGGTAAGCGTGTTTCACCCTTAATTCTTAGGCTTCAGAAAAGCCTAATTAGACAGGACAGGAATTTGGGCCTGGCACACCCAGGTTCAGACGTGGCAGAATTCTGAAACAAAGTTTTTTTTTTTTGAACCTTTGAGTCATATGCCACTGGCAAATCATAACCTCAATATACAGGTCCTTAAGTCAACAGGTCCTCCAACGAGATGGTGCGCAGTTGGAGCGTGGCAGCTGGATTTCCTCCTGCCACGAAGAAAAGAACTGAAGTCTTCCCGATCAAACCGGAAAGTGGGCGCAGCTCTGGCTTGGAGAGTGCACCCGGAAAAGTGTAGAGTCGACCCACAGCGAGAGGGATGTCCGCGTCCCGACCACACAGCGCTTTCCAAACCAGTCGGAAACCATTTAAATGGCTAGGGGCGGCCGCGGTTTTCAGCCTAGGACTGTCTGGTGTCCGGCTGGGAAAGTTGCCTAGCAAAGCTGTGCCCTTCCCTGTCGCGGGTTTGTCCCTCTCCGGCACACGGGAGGGAGGAGACAGGCAACCTGCAAATCCGAGTGTAAACGCCTGCTTCGCGCCTGGCACACCCGCTCCTGTCCCCGACTCAGAGACCCTTCCACGGACGAGTCCGGGGCCACAGGACTTTGGCCCTGACCGGGCTCCGACTGGAGCCTCCCTACGGGGATTGACAGGGGGCACCTAGAGCAAGAGAGTGACCTGTCTTCCACCGGAATGCCACCTCCCCACGGCCTCAGGCGCCCCTTTCGGCCTCTCCCGCGGGGCAACTGAAACCCTGCTCTCGAGACCTTCTCCAACCGGCCGCGGGACTCGTAGCCCTCTACCCACTAGCTGAAGCTCCGCGGACGTCCCACCATCCCCCGTAGCTGCCCAGGGGCCACGGGTCCCCCGCTCCGGCCTCTACGCTGGCCGGTCGGCTTACCTGGCGGGTAGGCAGGGCAGGGCGGCGGGAAGCGGCGGCCAGCCGAGTGCTGGACGTGGGCCGGGAGCCAGGTGCAGGTGGTGGCAGGCGGAGACTCGGGTTGCTGTCGCTACAGTTGCCGCTCAGTCGAGCTCCTCCTCTGCCGCCGCCTCCTGCCTTCCCGCTGGGCCTCCCGCGTTGCCAGGAGAGGCCGAACCGAGGCTCTGCTTCCTCTTGGAGTCTCCCAGGTGAGCTCTAGTCTGCGACGTCTGCAGAGGCGAGGCCCCTGTCCCGCGCCTGCGCGCCAGGCTTCTGCCCCGCCCAAACCCTACCTGAGCGCTCCAGGTGAGGACCGAAGACCCAGCGCGCGCGGGGCGCGGGCGTCGTCCCAGTCAAAAGCGGCAACAGAGCAGCTTCTCTCTCCGCAGTCCACGAGGCTGGTTTTCTGAAAGTCTTGCCAACCAGGCGGTGTACATTTGAGAAATTCTGTACTGACCTGGTGGCAGTGGTCACCTTCAGAACACACAGTCTGGGTCCTTGGGAGAACCAAAACTAGGTTCTCCCAACACTCCACTCTTCTTCGGTTCGCCCAGATACAGGGGTGCGGTACCCCCAGGACCACTTCATGAGGGCTGCAACTGTTGGATCATGTGGTTTCCTCGGGCAGGGTTCAGCAGCTTCTGTTACCAGTTAGGTTTGTGAGCTTCCTTCCATGTAGTCTAGATTTCATCACTTGACTCACTTCAGCGCAGCTAGTGGTTTCCGTTTTTGTAACCCAGCGCTCTGGTAGGGGCGCCTCACGTCCAAAGGAGGAGCCTCCTGCCTCTTCCAAAGAAGAGCCTCTGCTATTTGGCAGAGCCTCGCCAATTTGGGGCGCACCTCCCCTTCCTGGGTTGCTATCGAAAGACAAACCAATTACCAGATGAGAGGGAAAGCAGCGACAGTAGAGAATCCTGCTGTCCTTGTTTGGGAAGAGATTGTGGTTTCCTGGAGAAGGCTTGCTTTTACTGTAGGTTTGTTTAAAAGTTCAACATCTATTCTGGAAGGTGAGAATACAGACTCCAGAAAGAATCTAGGTTTTGCTGTTGTTTTTAAGACAAAAGTTTATTTTTTAACTTAGTTTTCACTTTGATGACATTTACAACTTTCTGTTTCAGCCTTATGTTGCTGTGACAATTACACACCCAAAACCAGATATTAAAATTACATTTCTACCAACTCATTTATTTGGCTTTATTTCAAAATATATAGGGATGTAAATGGAAAAATGCCCAAAACCTTTGGAGTAACATAATTACACGGTGACAGATTTTTCTATAAAGATTATCTGTGGCCTTCCTCCTACATTTGGACACTTCTTCTTATGCTGCTTATTGACTGATTTATTCATGTTATATATGACCTAGAAATAAGGTTTAAACCACTGATTAGTACAGAATCAGCAGGGGTATGGTAATTTGACTGGCCTATGACACTGTTTGTAGAATCCAATGTACAATTTTATGCCATAACAGCCCTGAGTTGGACTTAACACTTTAGATAATTATTTGTTTTGTATGTTGTTTATTTTGCAAGCATCAAGGAACCTTTTAATAGCAGTACATAATAGGAATTTTTAATCCCCTTCCAAAAAAAATTCAGGAGATATTTGCAAAACTAGCTTGGTATGGTAGTGTTTGTCCTTAGGTCTAGAGAGCTGAAAACATTAGCTCCATAAATTCATTCTCTCTCTCTCTCTCTCTCTCTCTCTCTCTCTCTCTCTCTCTCTCTCTCTCT